GACCTTGTAGGAGAACTAACTTTGTAGTTGCAATTTAGTTATTACTCTTTTAATTGCCTGGAGACTGAATTGGTAAATCTGTCTCTCCTAGATTATTAACGAAGATGTCCTAAAGCAAACCTGTGATGCTCACCAACTTTGTATCATTTCTGTTTTGCCCCACATACTTGACACAGGTAAGAACAAAAGAGTATTTTCCCTTATCTTTGGCTTTTACACTGGCCTCAAATGTAATCTTTCTTTCTCTCTTTCTTTCTTTGTTTTAATGATTTCTGTTAAACAGGAGCTGCAGGTAGAAATGCCTACCTAGAAGTCATGTTGAAAATGGCAGACAAATACAAAAGGAAGATGTGGGGGTAAGTTACAGATGATAGGCACAGGTGCTTTGGTTTGAGGCAGGGAGGAATACCAAACTGTGCTCCTTATTGAAATGAAAATAGTATGTCAAGTTCCGGTGTATAAAGAAAACGCCACACACACACAAGTGATTGTTTGAATCCTTTACCAGCACGAACTAACATCCATAAAACAATACAGGAAGATTTTGTTGGAGCTACTGCTCTGTGCTCCCCACCACCTTACCCAGGTGCCTTTCATCCAATCCCACCCCACTCATTAACCATGTTGCACTTAGTCACAATGACTATGCGTTTTCCCCGTGCGCTCCCAACCAGCTGGCCACACCCCAGGCATTGCAATCATTACATCCCAATCCACACCTCTGTTTGAATCCAGGCTTCCCAGCCAACAGCATCTACCCAGTTAGCAACTCTCAGCCATCGCCACAGTTGTCCAAAAGCGCTCAGGGCAGCTAAACATATTTGCTGCCTGTCCAGTGTACTCAGGCATTGTAAATGTCCTGAGAAGGCCACCGTAGTCCTGATGATGTCATCAGGCGGCAGCTGCAGCCTAAACGCGCTGTCTATGCCAGCCGGGTCTCTCACGAGCAGCGTGCCTCTCAGCTGATGAACGGCAGTCAGAAACATCCCCCAGAGCAGCTGATGAAGATACTGGTCGAAGACGTCTCCCAGAGCGGCTGGTAGCGAGGAGGTGAGCCGGGGAGCCATGGTGTTGTGCCACCGGAACCACCGCGCCCGCTGGAATGACAGCCCTGACGCGCAGCCGCAAGTCGGAGCTGACATAGTAACTCAGTGACAGTATAGACTAGGCTAGATTGCGTACGAACGAGGTAGGGGAGGCTTAAGGAAATGAGCTGGTTTTGATCTGCCGTCTTCATCCCTTTTGCTCTGCAACTTGCAACAGAAAGTTGGGTGATGCAAGGGAGATCTGGAACTGTAGAGAAAAATTATCTTCTTTGGTTTGCTTTGAGATAAAACACCCATTTCTTCTTATCCAAGGTGGCTGTGGACAGAAGCCGGAGCACAGTTTGATCTCGAAAGCTCTTTGGGCATTGGTGGCTTTGGCTATCCAGCCATGGCAGCCGTGAATGCTCGAAAGATGAAATTTGCCCTGCTGAAAGGCTCCTTCAGCGATCAAGGAATTAATGAATTCCTAAGGTAAGGCTTCTCGGTCGGTACCTCAAATCATATGAATGTTGTGGTGCTTGATGAGTTTCAATTTAAAATAGTCAGAGGGGGAAAATAATTGATTTTTATTTTATTTACAGAATTGATTCTGTAAAGCATGTTTGTTGGCTTCCTTTTTGAACACAAAAAGCTACCTTACTCGGGGCATTCCTGAATTCCATATTTTTTTCTTCTTATTCCTCCCCCTTTTAAAAGAAATGACTGAAATCTCATCAAATTTTAACTGGGGGGAGGTGGGCCAATTACCAGTCTCACTCAGTGCCATTCATTATGTAATTCATCACATCAGGCTTAATTATTTTATATCCCACCTTTATTATTTTTATAAACAAGATGATTGTGCCTACTACTTCTTCCTTCTGTTTTTCACAACAACAAACCCTGTGAGGTAGATTGGCTGAGGGGGAGTGATTGGTCCACGGTCACCCACTCAGCCTTCTTTCGTGTCTAAGATGGCACTAGAACTCATGGTCCCCCAGTTTCTAATCTGGTGCCTTAATCAAACTGGTTCTCAAATGTGAATCACTAGAGGGGTATATGTTATGTTCTAAATGTTTTTTCCATTTCTAGGGAACTTTCTGTTGGACGAGGGTCCACAGCACCAGTTGGTGGAGGGGCTTTTGCCAAAATTAACACAGTGGAGCCCTGGGATGGCAAAGATGGCGAGGTAAAAGACTTCATTTTCATCTCTGTATTTCATACAGAACTTATTTGGACATTTTAGGATTCATGCATTTAAATTGTTTCACTATCAGGTCAATCTCTCAATGTTTAGTTAGCCTGATAAATATATACCCTAAAGCTTGTACTCAAATATTTGTTTAGTTAAAACTTTGCTGCTTCTTTGTATTTCTCCTCTTTTCTGTCACCCGTCTTATCTATGAGAAGCCACCTTAGTTCTACACTTGGCTCTGTATCTTTGTTCTCTTTTGGATTTTGCTGAAAGCTTTGACATTTGTTTATCTTATCTATTTCTGGCATCATTTTATTTTCTGTATCCTGTTTGAGCTATTCTGATACGCTTCCTGTGCAGACTATTTTCTTCCTTTTTTTCTTTCCTGTCCTGATGGCAGGTTGCTCACCAAATGTTCAACTAGTCTAGTATTGTTGCATTAAGGGGTATAAAGAGGAACTTGATAATAATGCCACTCCTACTTTTCTTGTTTATCCAGCTGTTCAGGTTACATTCAAGCTTACATAGATTTTCAACTTTTATTGTTTGCTTAGAGTCTACTGTTGACTTCTACTTTTTTATAGACGATTTTTGCTCCATAGCTTACTGAAGCCACACAAAATGTCACACCTGGGCTTGTTTCAATCCTGGTTTGCTTAATGAAAAAGAAACCGCCCATCATGTAGAGAGATAAAATAATAATACCTTGTTTGGCTGATTTTGAATTAAATTTGGTCTATTGTTTGGATGATTTTGCTGTACATCTCTGTAGGCATTTAGCAGCTTGCGTGTAGGATACAGAACAAGAAATAAGACCCCAAAGAGCTGTAAATAAACATGTAGCCCAATTCCCTTATCATGTTAAGCCAATTTAACATATTTGACTTAGCACACAGTGCAAACCCACTTATTTTGATCTTAAGCATCAGACACTAATCATAGTTTTAATTTTTCCGCTGATTTTAAAGAGTTAAAATAACAGCGATTAGACTGAATGGTGGTGTGGGTGCTGAAACTCCACTTTAATTGCATCACTTATCTGAATGGTACAAAACCTTATCTTCAGATTGTGTGTGTAGTTTATACTTTTAAAGGAAGATCAGAAAAGTAAATTGCTGGTTGTACACAAACTAAAAAGCACATTTAGGTCTCTTTAGAAAAAGTTATTTAATAGTAGCGTCGTTTGCTATTGAGCAATATTTTCTCAGCATCTTAGGGGGTTTGAAACTTGTTCTAAGAACTATGTGGTGATACATGATAAATGCCTGATCAATTCACACTCTATTGTTTCATAGCTCCCAGCCGAAGATGATATTGATCTCAGTGATGTAGATCTTGATGACTGGGATACTCAGAAGGATGAATTGTGAGAGCCTGAAGATAACTTGATTTCTTGAGAGACATTGGGCAGTGGTTGTATTGGATAGAAGAATGTTTTGCATCACATGGATCTACCAGTGGCCTTTTTTGCCAAGAGAGAAACTGTTGGAAACATGGTCATCAGTGAACTGAGCATCTCTTAAGAAAAAATATCTCACAAATTCTATGAATTTTTTTTATTGAGTGAAATTGTATCCGGTGTAGCAGATATTTTGAGAACAACACTGATCTTTCATTGAAATGCTCTTGGGTTTTTGTTTTGATTTTTTTTTTTAAATCTAGCTGGCATGTGGTCAATTGTAACTTGAGACTTTTGTTGTACTTAGTTTTAAAATGTGATCTTTTTTCTCCTCCCCCACAGTATAGCTTTCATTTCAATGAAAGAATAAAACAATATTTTTGACTCTGTGTCAGTGTTGTACAGTGTACAGAGAGATCTCCCTTTGACTATACCAGTGCAGTATTTGGAGCCATTTTTGCAATGAATATTATGATGTGTTTGTGTTCATATTAAGCCAGTCATTTTTAAAATGCTGCTGTTTTGAAGAAGCTATAGTGAAATGTTTCACATAATAGTAAGCTTTGGATATGAACCTGATCCTTGTATTCTGTCTAAATACTTTCAACTGTTATTTTTCTTTGGGGAGCCTGTAGGATTGAGAGAACTGCCCTATTTACTGGCAACGTGTGACAGTTTTATCTTGATGCATATCTCATCGATTGTATGGGAACCTTTAAGAACTAGTGTTCCTTCATGGTAACGCAAGAAAAATAGTAAGCTGTTGTCTCTGACAAATAATGTTCTCAGATTATATTAGTATAATATTAAATTATAAAGTATAATACTCCTATAACAGAAGACATGATTTCTTTGGAAGAATGTAAGAAAAAACCCAGTGTCAGTATTAAATTCTCCTGTCCCAAGAATGTTAGGCAATATTTCTCTTTTTAAAAAGGCTCACTTTACTCTAAGGTCTCCAGGATTCCAGCATCAGAGCCATTGATTGGACTTTTTTTTTTTTTTGCAAACTACTCTTTGAGGAGCATTGAAAGAGGTTTCGTCTATACTGTAACACTGTGAATCAATGGTGGTGAGAGGAAATGCTGCCATTTATTCTAACCAAGTTGGATACTTAAAAGGCCATGCTACTTTCAGCAAACCGACAAAATGAGATTTCAAGTTTTGTATTATGTCTGCAGTGAGTCAGTCTTCAGTGGAAGGGAAAGCTGTTTCACTGAAACAAGAGAAAACATTTCTGTCCTGATTTCTTACATGCTAAACTGAAGCAACCAGATTAAAATTAACTTCCCAAACATATTTCCCTCTGAAATTTCACTGTGTAACTGCTGTGTTGACTGAATCAATACATTAAACCAATTACAGATTTATGACTCCAGGATATTTCTACCTTAACCGCCAGATATCTGGATTTTATTTAAAACCTTAGATGATCAGGCGTGTTTTGTAATTAGAACAGAATAAATACAATAACACAATGCCTTGCGAAGCATGTTTTCTAATACAATCAGAAAAAAGCTTCCAGTATCTTTTAATTGTCAAAATGGAAAAAAAGCAACCAGTCTACTTATAGTCAAGCCAAATCTAGGAACTACAATGATCACTTGCTTAAAATTACTTGGTCTTTCTGCATCGAAAGGGCCACATTCCTATTATGTTTGCATTAAAAACAAAATGGATGTCATTTTGTTCACAAATCCAATACTGAAAAACAAGTCCTGCTTGGCGCAGCAAACTTTAGCTGGAATCGAGAAGGCTGAGGTCAATCTTGAAATAGACATAAGGGTAGTAATCCTGATTGTTTAGCTGCAAACCAGGAATGTCGACTGAAGTCTAGGGAAAACATGAAAGTAGAGTGAGTTCCTTAAGACCTCTAGATAGGTGCTACAATTTTTACAAAATGTGAGGGAATATTTCCAAAAACATCACTAACTATAACAGGAGCAAGTACTGTGAAATGAAAGACTTCAAACAAGCAGTAAATACACTAATCCCCAGATTAGTGTAAGGAAGCTGATCCCGCATTGGAAGTCTCTAGGTCAGGGGTGTCAAACTATTTCATTGCAGGCTGCATCAGGGTTGTGTTTGACTTTGGGGGAGGTCGGGGTGGCCAGCTCAATGTCACTCATGTCGGGGGCACCTGTGCTGGCCTGAGCACTCTGCCAGCAAAAATGGGCTCCCAAGCTCCGTTTTCGGCTGCAACATCCTCCTGCAACCCTCTGCCAGCGAAAATGGAGCTCCGTTTTCATTGGCAGAGGCAATGAACAGACAGGCCTGTCTTTTCGCTGTTTCCAGGGCAATCCCGCAGGCCAGATCTAAGCACCCAGGCTGGATCTGGCCCCCAGGCCTTGAGTTTGACACCCCTGCTCTATGTCTTCTGAAAACCTCATGGCTGTTACAGGAATAAGGTAGGCCAATTTAAGGGTGGGGTAATTGCAGCCCTGGGAATCCACACAGTACTGTGCTGGGAAACTATCGCCCTTTTATGAGCTGTGGATTTCAACTGGCTTGGGAATTCTGGGAAATGGGCCATTGTTCCCCACCTCTCCTCTAAATGATTTATTATCGTTTATTCAACAGCCTCCTCATTGGGAGGCAGAAGGTGGTGTCAAAAATGAGACAAGGGGAAGGGTCAGAGAACAGGAGACGTTACCCATTTTGCCCTATGCTTCCCGCAGCCCTTGTTTGCCATCTCCATCCTTAGGCGGGCCACCTGAAATGGAATACTTACGTCCATTAGGCTGGCTGCCGCTACTTCGTCCAGATGCTTGAAAACTGCATTTAATACTTCTCTCAACCTCTTCATAGATTTCTTATTAGGATGAAGTAGCATTGCCTGGAAGTTCACTGGTAATCCATACCTTGAATGGATGCAATGAAGGTTAAAGTGGAAGCAGCGGAATGCAACGCAAGGAATTTTTACTTTACCTATCGACTATCCTCATTCTGCTTTTGTTTGTGACTAGGAGTTTTTAAAGTCTTAAACTGCATCAAAGATTGTTTATTTTCCTTATTAACTCTTATCACAATATTTGCCTAATTACAATCTGTTTATTCCTGGAACATTTAAGAACCCACTCCACAGACGACCACCAAAGTATGTTTAAAATCAATGAGGAAGTTAAACTGATCAACTGGGATATGTAATTGAGATTTTGATTGGCTTTAGGAAAAAAATTTAACCTATGAAATTTCATCTGTTTACCTGAGGACAGATTCTGAAAAAACTCTTAGTGCCTTTATATGGATCCAAGCCACAAATGCTTCACTGAAGTTCACCTTCAACCATCTCAACAGAGGACCCTTTAAATGAGTAAAATATGGTATCAGACAACAGAAGAACTATAAGTGTAATTCTCAAAGGCTCCAAATTGGTGGCCCAATTTTTTGAAAATTTCACAAAATAATATCAAATATGTGAGAAGCAATGAAATCCGCTTTCTTAAATTCAGTCTTAAATTACATTTAGGTATCGTCATGGTCCCACAATACTTAACCCAAATGGCTAATTGTACTCCCCAGCCCCACCCAGCAAGGTTGCAGCTAATCTGATTCAGCATCCAGTGATTAAAAAACAACTCCTTGGTAGGTAAAATAGAGTTGACAGTGGGAATTTGACATCCATGCAGAACCTGTCACTTGTGGGCTGCATATACCTCCAATCCTATTTTATGGCCTTCAGAACCTCCAATTATGCCCCCAAATTCCACTTCTACTTCACTAATATTCAGCGATGGCAGGTTTTCATGGGTTTCATGCAAAATAAGGTCTGTGCAGGTTTTAGTTACCCATTCACTCCCTCAAAATCCAAGCCCTCCAAAAATGGGGCAAATATGATATTAGCCAGAGAGTCAAGTAATCAAGTCTCCTACAGTTCGTGGTACTACCTCTGGCTGGGAAAAGCTTGCAGGAGAACTAGCCAACCTATTTGAAAGGTATCTGTTGGATTGCATTCTGTTCAGCATTCAGGGGATAATGATTTCCCCAGGTATTTGGGTCAAGAGGTTTATGTGACATCCATTGCTGTTGTTATTGGGGGGGAGGGCGTAGTACTAGTCGAGAGTGGGGTCACTGTTTTACCTGTGGGTCCTGGGGCTTGTATTTTGTGGCTTGTGTGCTTTTAATCCTTAGATGCTTCCCGGAATTATTTGTGTAAGATGGATGGCCATATTAAATAAACAATGTTAGGTAACATCCATTCACAGGGAAGATATTGGAAAGTCCCGTTTTTAGCAAATCAAGAGTATTACTCTAGACTACCTATAATACAGTATGTAAATACCTATATTTACAGTATTAAAACACTATGTTGATGAGAGGAAACTGCACTGATTTGTGCCTAATGAGGTGTGTGTGTGTGTGCGCGCGTGCATCTGTATGCATGCGTGCATCTTTGAGTCAGTGTTGGTTTTGGCAACTGCCTGGACAAGTCCCTGTAATTTTCTTGGCAAGGTTTTTAAAAAGTGGTTGGCCCTTGCCTCCTTCCTAGAACTGAGAGAAAGTGACAGACCCAAGGTTACCCAATTGGCTTTGAGCCCCAACCTAGAAGTCACAATCTCCCAGTTTCTTACCTGGTGCTTTAACCACTATAGCAAACTGGCTCACACACACATGCACACACCAAATGTTTACAGCTGTAACGAGACCTGTAAACATAAACTACAAACATAATAGCTGTATTCGCAATGTGTTAAATTTGATTCCTTTTTTTTTTGGTTTAGTCCGGGGTGCAAACCTAGGTCATTGATTAATTTATGGGCCAATGAGTCATGAGGATTATGGCTATGGATTAATTCAGCAATCAGGTTAAATGTGTTGTGTGAACAACCCTTTCAGATAATGAATTATCTTGGATATCATCCCAAGCATACATACAGCATTTCTGGGCAAACCATTAATAGTGAGATTATGTGGTAATTTAGCAAATAGTCAGCAAGTCAGGCACAGAAGTCAATACGCACAACTTGAAGATGTTTACTTACATACTGTTGCTTCTTATCAGAAGCTAACTTCCTCATTTCATCCTTTTCACACTTCAGTTCTTTCTCATCAAAATAAAATTCCCGCACCATGAACCTTAAAAAAAAAATCAGTGTAGACATTCAGCATGTGGGCTTTTAGAAAGCTGCTTCCTGCCTGGGCTTTTGAACACCAATGTTCTTTCAAACCACAAGGTACACAACCTAGCTGGGGAACAAGGTATGTTTTGGCTGTGTGGGAGTAAATCATATTAGACCAATTTTCAAAGCTTTTAGGAGCTCTTGTCATCCTTAATAAGCTAGCTTTATTTTCAGCTCTGTGAGCCCCTGCCGATGCATCAGACTGGAAAAAGTGACTCACTAGCTGAAGTTATGAAGGGTTTCTTATTTTGCTGTATATTCTATCCTTCCTCTTTGAATTTAACAGCTATCCTGTGTGTTTGGTTAGATGGAGAGCCAGTGGTCCCAATTCAGTCAAAATAAGTGATGATTTAAGCTACAGAGGCACTATTGGAGGCAGGGGTGGGGTCAACAAAAGACAAAACTTGAAGCCCCATTTCTTTATATCAGCAGTCCCCAAACTTTCCTTTGCAATAACCCCCAAACATTTTTTGGGATGCCCCTCCCAATGGATGCCTCATTAGGCAGCAATCCAAAACATATTTGCATGAGAATTGCGAGATGCCAAGTAGGCATTCGTACACTTCCACCGTGTGCCTAAGCAGAGTGTGTCTCCCACAGATATCAGGTAGTCCTTGATGATTATGATAGTAATGGAGACTTCTCATTATGGTCATAAGTCATAATGGTTGTAAAACAGGTCACCCATGTGACTGACCCAATTTCCACGGCGATTGTTAGGCGAATACCATGGTCATTAAGGGAACTAATCGTTTACAATGGGCTGGTTTCACTGAAAACCAGGAGTTGATGCCCGTTTTCAGCAAAATTGTAAAATCATGTGACTACCAAATGCCAAAAAGAGCCGTAAATGCAGGCTGGTTGCCAAGGGCCCAACATGTAGTCACATGAATGGGCGGGTGTGGGGGGGGCGACTGTCAGATCTTCAGGGTAACAAGTGTCCTCAGGGAAGTCCATTGTAATTTTGAACAGTCACTAAGTGATCTTAATAAATTGAGGACTACCTGTAATCAAAACCTAGCCTAGAGGGGGATCTCATACAGTACACAGAAGATGCCATAGAGAGAACTCTTCTATCACATAGCATCATATGGAAATCTGTAAGTGGTGGCGTTACTAGCAAAATTTCTCCTTTGTAACTAATGTGATTTGACAGAAGGGGTTGTTTCAGATAACTGAATAAATATTCAGATCAATATCCCATGGCCTAGGCCCGGGATATTTGGCGGACCATCTGCAGCCAACAACAGCTTCCCATCGCCCGGTACGCTCCCACAGGGAGGGCCTACTCAGGGTGCCTTCGGCCAGACAGTGTTGGCTGGCGACCCCCAGGGAGAGAGCTTTCTCTGTGGGCACACCCGCCCTTTGGAATCAACTCCCTCTGGAGCTCCGGGTGGCCCCCGACGTTCGCTCTTTCCGCCGTGGGTTGAAAACTTGGCTATTTCACCTGGCCGCCTTGGACTGATGGGGGTTTTAATCTGATTTTTATTGAATTTCTTAATTTTAACTTGGACTTCTGTTTTAATGGTTTGTCTGTTCGGTTTTAATTGTTGTGAGCCGCCCTGAGTCCTGTGGAGATAGGGCGGCATACAAGTCCCAACAAATAAATAAATAAATAAACCGAGTCCCTAAATTGTTCTAAGTTTAGGATTAGGATTATTCAAGGTTTGATATGTAAGCATCAAACATTTGAAAGTGATCAGATTGTTTAAAAAGCCATGGCATTTAAGACTGCTTTATTTGTCATCCACTCCTCATTTATGTTCATTGAAAATACTTGGGTAAAATGGGTATTTTAAAACCAACTTCCTCTCTTTTCTCTCGCTTCAGTGTTGACCCAGATATTCATTTTATGAAAATATTCTTAAAACAGGTTTAAAATCTGGTTAAAATATACATGAACGGTGTGTCCCCAATGTAAGATAAATAGAAGTCCATTCATATAGTGGGCATTCCCTACATCCTCAAGATTCATGGAGGGTAGAGAAGAATTTGCTACCACCTCTTCCTGTTCTGCTGATGGAAACAGACCTGCCCTTGGATCCAGCCCTGTGCAAATTATTCAAGAGGTCTGATAAATTACTGCCCAGATGTGTCTTGTTTCATTTCAGAACAGGAGAAAGAGCCTGAACTATTCTGGTTTTGGCACAAAAGTAGAAAGAAATCAGTACTTGTTCTCTCTGGCTTTGGTCTTAAAGTCATCAATCACTTTTCGGAACAGGGTGACTGTGAAGAGCCCTCCCTCTGCATCTTCAGCGATCATCCTGCAAGAATCAAATTCGTTGGTCCAGTTATTCTAAAGCCTATCCTGCTTTTCCGTGATAGGTGCCAAAGCAATTAACGAGAGTGTAATTATGATTGTTAATAATTATAACTTATCGTAAGTAGTAATTGTCAGATTCAATTACTTCCTCAGCAGTTTCTTAATCTACACAATAATATTGTGATGCATACTCTATTGTTACACAAAGGTTTTTTTTTTAATTTCCATTTAGTCACCACCACCAAGTTCATCTGATTAACAGAAGGAACTAGGTCCTTCAAAAAACAACTGAACACACTTTCCAAAAATTGCTATCTACGTTCCCCTTACCATCCCCTCCCCTCTCTATTCCTCCTCTCCTCTTCCTCCTCACCCCTTCATTCCCCTCCTCTCTCCTCTTCCTCCTCTCCTTCCCTCCCCTCCCCTCCTCCCTTTCCCTTCTCTCCTCTCCTTGCCAATAAAAAGCAACCTTGATATAAAGAAGAAATCTCAAAAAGGTAGAGCTCAGCAGCTTTAATACAACCTCCCCCAGCACCCTTTAAAGCTTTATGCAATGATATAGTATTAATATTTAATACTTTAATACTTTTAAAATGAGAACAAGAGATATTTCTTGTCACAATTTGCCACAATCCAAATTCTTTCTTTTTCAAAATTCCTAGCAGAAGAGGCGACTCATCAGAACCTAATCCCATTTAAATTCGTCCAAGGGTACTCTGCAATATTCATACTTGCATGCTACCTGACTTCCAATGATTCTGAGCAAAAGGTTGGAATCTGTTAAGAGAAACAATACAGTCCAAAAGTTGTACTTACTTTGTAGAGCGAGGAACCACCATATCTGAGAGTGATTCATAGGTTTTTTGCCATTGCACATAGCTTGTTCTGCAACAAGACAAATTTTGTACAGCGTCTCTGTATAAACGTCTACCGTAAGTACAATGATTGTTACTTCTCTTTACAGAAATTCAGAAAATCTTAGTGCCAAGTTGATAAGTGTGGGGTGGGGGGGAAGACCACAAGGAAATAGATCCTGTATGACAAGAATGTTCAATTTCCATACACTTGAGGCTCTCGGCAGCCTCTCCTGTGCCAAATTCCAGAAGTGGCTGAAACATACTATTCAAACTTTGCAAGGCACCCCTTTTACCTCATAACCGAAACTTTAAAAAAAAAAAAGAACTAAAATTTTAGGCCCCACTTAATCTCCAATGGGAGAGCACTGGGCTTCTTCAGCTGCACCTTTTATACTTTTGTTGGAGCCCAAAAATATCTGGAGAACACAGGTTGCTCGATCCCCATTCCATTTTTTTTTAAAGGGATTAACCAGTTTCCATTGTAAATAGCTGATGTTAAGGGGCTTGAATTGCATTCCCGAAATAGTCTTCCCAACTATGTTGACAAAATAGTCTTCCCAACTATGTTGATTCAAGCATGGCACAGGGCCCAAGATTTGAGAGGTGAAAATTCAGGGTTCATACTGAAGTTTCCATACTGGGCCCATCCGGTCTCACATGCAGGAAGTCTTCTACATATGACTGTAATAGATCCATTACGGTCATATATTGTGATAATTGTAAAATTATTGTGATTTTTTTTTTGCAGTGATCATTAAGCAAGGGTGGCAGTTGTGAAGTGATCCCCATGGTCATTAAGCGAACCAAAGCTCGGGTTTGCCCAGTTTTGGTAAAACACGGAAGTGTCCGGTTGTGATAAAATGTCACCATGTGATTGTGGGGAATTGCAAATGGCTGCCAATGTAGTCATATTCCAAGCACCCGAAGTTCAGTCATGTAACCATGGAGGGAGCCTGACCGCCAGAACTCTGAAGTCCCCTTTTTGGGGTATGACATAAGTGAAGGACTAACTGCATTTTGAATCTTATCTACAAGGATTCCATGATGCTCCTTTTCCCCCTCTTCACCTCTATTTCTCTAAATGTACCTGAAGCAACTAGTAATATGATGACAGTGAGGAAGTGAGGTGAATGAATATCCAGTTCTTTCAACGTGTTTTACTTTTGAGTAAGCATGAACAAAAGATGTTCTATGTGTGCCAGCATCCTTGGATTTATTTTGCAAAGAAAAAGCAGCATCTACATTTTTCAAAAATAAAGAAGTTCTCATTGCAAGCAACATAGTACAGGTAGTCCTTGACCTACGACCACAATGGAACCCAAAATTTCTGTTGCTAAGTGAGACGGCTGGTAGGTGAATTTTGCCTCATTTTCTTGGCATAGTTGTTAAGTTAATCAGCAGTTAAGTTAGTAACATGGCTGTTAATTGAATCCCTGGTGATTTTGCTTATCAGAAGTTCTCAAAAGTTGATCACATGACCCTGGGATACTGCAACCATCATAAATATGAGTCAGTTGCCTTTGATCATGTGACCATGAGGATGCTGCAACAGTTGTAACTGTGAAAAATGTTCATAAGTCACTTTTTTCACGGCTGCTGTAACCTCGGTCACTAAACTAACTGTTGTAAGCTGTGGACTACCTGCATTTTGAATCTCTCATGTGGAATTTACAATATTTGCAATACATCACTTAACAAGCACAACTGGGACCAGCAACTTCACTACTAAGCAATGCAGTCATTAAACAAGACATATAACTGCAACAGACTTACGACCTCACTTCTGTCTGCCGTGGTTGTTATGATTGTTAAGTGAAACATCACATGACCACAACTTGCAATTTTATTGCCAGCTTCTTCATCGACTCTGCTTCTCAGAAACCGGTTATGAAGTAGGCAAATGGTGATTGTGGGATTGTGGGATGCTGCAACGGTCATAAATGTCTGACATTGCAAAGTGCCCAAATTTTGATCATGTGGCCACAGGAATGGTTGCTATGGTTGCAAGAGCAAAGGTCACTGATAACGTTACTTTTTCAGTGCCATCATAACTTCAAATGGTCACTAAACAGGGCAGTCGTTACGCGAAGACTACCTGTAAATACATTCAGTGTGAATTCGAGCAGAGCTAAATTGAGAATTTTATTATAGGCAATAAACTCTCAAACCTTGTCCTTTTCCATTAACTCATTGGTTAGTAGAGGACTTTCTATCAATTCATTGCATCAGAATTTTCCTGGTAAAACTGGCATAACGTATACAGAGAATTTTCTCTAAAAAGTATTACAATTAAGCACATCCATAGGAAACCCAACTTTTTCTTACTTAGGAACTACAACAAGTAGAGTGATGAGATATTCGGAATTCAATACAAAGTCTTCTTTGTTCACTATATCTGTTAACGTACGGGTCAAAAGATTTCCTCTGGAAAAAAAAAGAAGCCAGAAAAAAATCAATAGAGGATTTACCTACCACTGATACTTTCTAAGTGTTAAGTAGGATTGGATTTCTTAATTGGATAATTAGAAAGAAAATGTTTTCTGGGAAATTTTGGACAAACTTAAAGCAAATCCAGCCATTATATTATGGTAAGCTTAGAGGAAATAGGCACTTTTGTTTACTCTGTTTAAACAGATTAATTAATGCAGATCCACTAAAGAGCTGATTAGAGAGACAATTTGGTGTAATGGCCCTAGGCTAGAAACCGGGAGATGGTGAATTCTAGTCCCAATTTAGGCATGAAGCCATCTTAGTCTAATCACCCTCTCTCAGCCTTAGGAAGCAGGCAATGGCAACTTGCCGACTTGTCCAGAGAGGCTAGAAGTCATCAATATTGACCCAAAAGCACACACACACACAAAAAAACCCACTCCCTGATTAAGCCCATTACTTGTCTGTATTACTATATTCCCAATACAGCTAACATGTTAAGACATCATCATAGGAAGTCAATATGCCAATGCATACAGAAAACGCAATTCATTAACACTTATCTAAACACATACACCGTTTTTCTTTCCAGATTCTGAAGATTTCCTTTGATGTTGTTATAGACAGCAGCTCGGCTTTTCATGTCTGCTTCGATTTGGGTAATTTGCTAAACGTAAAAAGGAAATCCAGTTCAACCACAACAATACACAAGCAACAGAGTGGTCAATGCCTGGAATGCATTACCTGACTCTGTAGTTTCTTCCCCAAACCCCCAAAACTTTAACCTTAGACTGTCTACCGTTGACCTCACCCCATTCCTAAGAGGTCTGTAAGGGGCATGTATAAGCTCACCAACATGCTTACCATCCCTGTCCTAATGTCCCCTTTTATTTGTATCCATTTCATGTATTCATAATCATATTTATACTTTTATCTGTTATATATGCTTGACAAAATCAATACTATCATTATTAATATAAACTCTGCATCCATTTTAAAGTTGAGATAATTCCATACATGCAAAAGTCTACAGAGAATATAGATTCTATTGTTAGGCTTACCAAAGGGGTCAAAACTTATTTTCCATTTTAGGGGCAACTTAAATAGATACAGCTGTCTTTCTCTCATAACAAGTTGGATGGGGAAGGAAAGGAGGAAATTGATTTATTCTTGCTCTGTTATGGTCCGGAAGAAAATCCTTCCTTGTACTAGGGTGAAATCCCTCATTAAATACACACTTGCAATTCAGATTTACAGATACAAAAATAAATGCTTTCTGTCTGCTAAATGCTGCTGTGTGACAGACTTGTGACTGCTTCTAAGACAGACTTAAAATTTATATTTAGAATTATAAATTACTAAATAGTCTCCTTAAGTTACAGGAGATACTTCTTAGGATGATATAGATATTACATATTTATTTTTCCTTTTCCTCTCAGACAAGAATATCTTTGTGGGGAGAAAGATGAGGAAGAAGATATTTACATAATGCTAGAACTGGACAATGTGAAAAAAGGGCCCAGTTTACTTTCTGATAAATTTCAAAGTGAGTCAGTAGCCATCATATCCAGAACTGGGTCCCTGAGAAAGCTGTCCTCAGTAATTAAATACACTTTAATTAACAGCACTTTATTATCATTCCTGGGAACTAGCTTTTATAAGAGTAATTCTGGATACAGGAGAAATGAGGAAACAGAGTGATTACCTTTGCTAATCCTTCTGAAATGTTCTTCAGTGGCTGTTTTATTGGATACTTAGCCATGTCCCATTCAAACTTTGTTAGATAACTAATCAAGTCAACTGAAACGATAAAAGTAAATCCAGTGAGCTGCACGTGTATAAGAATTATTCTGAGAATAAAGTCATCTTTTCTCATGAAAACCTGCATCCAGACTAGCTTGCATTTACGATATAAATTGGGAAGTGTTGCCATCTTGCATTTATTCCCTTTTCTAGATACTAATACACATATCAAGCTCCCCTATTGCCAATTCTTTACAATTTAAAAATAAAGATTTACCCAATTAATTTCATGAAGAGGAATATATTTATCTTGGGTCTCATCTTGTCACTATAGTTAGAAAATAAGAAAGTAAAGATTTTGATTAAAAGTAATACCATAGTTAGCTTTAATTTAGGGCAGGGTTAGACAATCCATGGCCCACACAATGTGTCACTGAACTGAAATGCTTCACAGCTACAATCAGCAAGATCTGGGGGCCTGAAAGATGTAGTTCATATTGGCTAGAGAACCATAAAGCCCCCTGACTTATTTTATTTTTTAAAAACTGCTTTTGTAGTTTTAGCTCTTTCCTTTTGTGGGTTGGTCTTTTTAGCCAATTTGGTCCACCTAAAAGCCGTTCAAGTGACATTTGCTATGATGTCAAAAGTAGCATGGAGACACTGCAAGTGGTTAGAAATGATCAAGAGGGGGTCCTAATGTGGGGCAAGGTACTTTTTTAAAACCACGTTTTAAATAATACATGTGTGCCAGAACAAACAAATGGCCACACACATAGTTAGAGCTGGAAAAAAAACAGGAGAAAGAACATTTGAGGATGCTTCTAGACATCCCAGCAACTTTGTGTAGTTCTTAGCAAGGCCTTAATAACACACAAAAAGGAAGTGAAACCTTCTTCACTTAAGAGGTCCATGACATGTGTGTGAGATGGTATGTCTGCAAGAAACCTATGGGATTAAACATTCACAATGCATTTGGATACATACACAATGCAAATCCAGGTGATCTAAAAAAATGAATGATTGACCAGCACATAAGTAGGTGTGGACTATGGAGACCTCTTCCTTAGTGGATGGTATGCCTCTTTCAAATGCCTATAACAATCCCCTACTTTTGTGGTATCAGACTGGCTCCCTTTTGGTATCTCTAGACTAGTGTTGCTTCTCCTAGAAAGAGTCACCTTACCTTCTTATATTTCCTGGGTGTCGAAAATCTAATGTGCACATCAAGAATAAGGACTTGGAGACTTGAAATCAACAGGTTTCATCTTTAGCCTCCTTCTATAAAATATGTATGAGGCAGCTCAGTAGGAACATACAAGAAGCAAATGGGACTCCTTCCAAAAATGTTGTAAAATTCCTAAATGCACAGCCTGGTGTTAAACTGTGCCTAGGGCTAACTGATTGGCCCTTTACTTTCCGTTAAACTAAGGGTGTCCAACCTTGGCAACTTTAAGACTTGTGGACTTCAATTTCCAGAGGAATTCTGGGTGTTGAAGTCTTAAAGTTGCCAAGGTTGGACACCCCTATGAGCTTTAAGACTTCAACACCCAGAATTCCTCTGGAAATTGAAGTCCACAAGTCTTAAAGTTGCCAAGGTTGGACACCCCTACCTTAAACCTTTCTGCCTCATTCCTGAAAGGGAATGAAATGGATTCCAAACAGAACTATTCCACCATGCAGCACTTTATTGTAGTTGTCACATATCTTATTTTGGAATCCGTTCTTCTGTGCTCTTTTCTTCTGAATAAACCATGAATGCAAATAATATGTTACAGCCCAAGGTCACTCAGCCGGCTTTCGTGGCTAAGGCAGGATTAAAACTCACGGTCTCCCTTACATTATGATTTTTATATATGTGCTTTTATGCTCTGTCTGTCACCAGTGGATGCATTAAAAGCTTTCCATTGCTGATGCTGACAAGAGGGCTACAATTGTTATCCCCATTGGCCCATGCTCCCAGATCACTTTATGCAGCTTCATTCCTTGTGATTCTTGGCACACAGCATCACAGATACGTATGTCCAGTGGTGGGATTCAAGTAATTTAACAACCAGTTCTCTGCCCTAATGATTTCTTCCAACAACCAGTTTCCAAACTGCTCAGAAAGTTAACAACCAGTTCTCCCGAAGTGGTGCGAACTGGCTGAATCCCACCACTGCGTATGTCCCCCTTGGTGGGAGAGGAAAGGATAGTTCCTCTGTTTTGGCTTTGGCAGCAGTGGATGCCTTGTGTTATGATTATGTGTAGACCAGTGGTGAAATCCAATTTTTTTTTACTACCAGTTCTGTGGGCATGGCTTGGGCGTGGTGTGGCTTGGTGGGCATGGCAGGGGAAGCATACTGCAAAATCTCCATTCCCACCCCACTCCAGGGGAAGGATACTGCAAAATCCCCATTCCCACCCCACTCCAGGGGAAGGCTATTGCAAAATCCCCATTCCATCCCCAGTCCTGGGGGGAAGGATATTGCAAAATCTCCATTCCCACCCCACTTTGGGGCCAGCCAGAGGTGGCATTTGCTGGTTCACTGAACTGCTCAAAATTTCCGCTACCGGTTCTCCAGAACCTGACAGAACCGGCTGGATTTCAACCCTGGTGTAGACCACCCAGAATTGTGTGATTCAGGAAGTCAATTACCATGCACATGTTCTGAATGGTTGTCCCTTGGTTACTGCCAGATGCTTAAAATGGAAAGTTACTTGCTGACAGCATCACAGCTCCTTTCCGATTCACTTGTTACTTGTCCCCCATACTTGTGGTTCCAAGGTACCTTTGAACATGGGTTTAGCATTTTTTCAGAACACCCTACTCATGTTCAGAAATGATCTGACTGACAGATATAAATGATCCAAGGAGCTTTGGCAAAGGTCCCTCTTATATCTCCCCATGTCCCAATTCCATACTTTTACAGGTAGTCCTCGATTATTTGTGTAACAACAGTCCAGAATTATTATGGCTTTGAAATGGCGCTTTATGGCCCATAAAGCACTTCCAGCTGTCACAGGACATTGCTTGGCACCCTGTTTGCCTTTTACAACCAGTTGCCAAGCACCCTTCAATCATGTCATCACCATTTGAAGTCTTCTCAATCGACTTCCCGAAAAAATCCCTGGGAAAGCTGGCAGGGAATATTCAAGCTGCTGCTGCTGCCTGCCTCTCACTTCCCGAGGCTACCTGCCAAGAGGAGTTGAACTCCTTCAGTAGGGTAAAGAAATAGAGCTGAAATCGTTAAGATTTAAGCTCTGTTCCTGCCTCCCACTGAAGGAGTTCCCTTCCATGCATGGAGGGAAGCTAAAATCCTCCAGCAGGCAGCTCTTTCAGCCAGCTTGCAGAAAGAAAGAGGACCTGAAATCCTTGCAGAGGGACAGTGTAGTAAGGTAATGAGCATGGGATATCTCAGGCAGGTGCGGGGGGGAGTGTTTGGAGGCCTGGCACCAGTTCAGGCGAACCAGTAGTGACTGCAGTGGGAGGCTCTGCCCACCTGCCCGGATATCATCACGGATGCTCTGCACATGCATAGAAGCGCCATGAGCGAGCGAAGCGAGCGCACGCATGCACGCGCTCCCAGTTCCGAACCAGTAGCAAAAGTAAAGAGGAACCCACTACTGCCTGGCACCAGTTTTGAGTGAGTGTCGCTTTACTCAAGGACTGAAAATCCTATTTGGAATGGAGAGGCAGAACAGTAAGGAAATGAGCACATGATGTCTCAAGGGATGAGGGAGACACACAAGTTTGTTTAATGACCGCAACTGCAAATGCCAGGATTGTATCCATTGAGCAAAGCAGTCATGTGGGCATCTTGCTTAATGACCACTTCACTCAACGACTGTGATTTTGGTCCCAGTCGGGAGGACTAAGTGTAAGGCAACTTCACAGTGGGCTAATCTGCCATTTTAACCAATCATCTAATTCAGGGGTCTCCAACCTTGGCAACTTTGAGACTTGTGGACTTCAACTCCCAGAATTCCTCAGCCAGCTGGCTGAGGAATTCTGGGAGTTGAAGTCCACAAGTCTTAATGTTCCCAACGTTGGAGAACCCTGATCTAATTCACCCATCCTCACTCCCCACCCGTGAGAAAAATAGACTTGTGACTGTTTCCTAATCAACAAGCATTGCTTGGTGGGCAGGAAATGAAACAAGGGGAATCACCACTTCCTTTCCCTAAGATGGCTACAATAGCTATATAAGGAAAGTACCACGAGCCAGCGAGAATGTAGATTGGCAAAGATTGTAGATTGCTGATGCCAGCCTGGTGTGTGTTGGGGGTTTTGTTTTTTGTTTTCCCCTGTAAGGACTAACGAATAGCCTTCACCTGTAAGGAAGAGCCCTGGGTACAGGTAGTCCTTGACTTATAACCATTTGTTTAGTGACTATTCAAAGTTACAGCGGCCCTGAAAAAAGTGATTTATGACCATTTTTCACACTGACGACTGTTGCAGCATCTCCATGGTCATGTGATTTATATTTGGATGCTTAACAACTGATTCATATTTATGACGGTTGCAGTGTCTCGGGGTCATGTGATCCAGGGGTGGGTTCTACTTACCTTTACTACCGGTTCACAACAGGATCATGTGCACGCCGAGCTTCTGCGCGTGTGCAGATCGACTAAGACAACATCCAGGGCAGCGGGCGGAGCCTCAACCCAGTTTTACTACCGGTTCTTGCGAACTGGTCTGAACTGGGGGCAACCCACCACTGATGTGATCCCATTTTTGCAACCTTCTGACAAGCAAAGTCAATGGGGAAGCCAGATTCACTTAACAACCGTGTTACTAACTTAACAACTGCAATGATTCCCTTAACAAAAGTGGCAAGAAAAGTTGCAAAATGGGGCAAAATTCACTTAACAAATTTCTCACTTAGTAACATAAATTTTGGGTTCTATTGTGGTCGTAAATCGAGGACTACCTATGTACCAGACCCAGGCTGCAAAATCTAAATAACCACTAGATGGCAGCGGCAAGCTATATTTGCTGTCATTAAACTCTCATCTGAGTTTTTACAGTTTAGATGGGGTTAACCTGAACTAATCTATCCAGTAAAAACTGTAGTAACTTGTTTTGCACCCTGAAGAACGCCAGTGATACACCTGATCATAAGAAGACAGATGCATGCAAAAAGTTTCACACACTCCAATAGTCCCTACAGTTCCTTTCACTATACATGCAGAGTAAGTTAAAAAGAAAGAAAAAGATTGAAGGAAAGGAAAAATCAACAGTAGTATAAAGGATGCAGACCTGCAGTAATCTGAGTCATAGGGAGATGGTGATCAAGCTACGGGGTTGTTACTAGAGAAATCCATCGTAACCTGATCACTGTACCCCTACAACCAGATGTGGAGTCGACTCTATTATTAAACACACTAGTGCATGCTGGCCAAGAAACATCGCCACCCAAGCACAACATACCCTTTAGACATTTCATTTTGTCCTTTGCGCCTGAAATACAGTAAGTGCAATTATTGATCTTCAAAAATACCTGACTTAAAAAGTAAAGTTATCGCTTGGCACAAGATGTCTGCCAAAGAGCAGAATTCCATTCTGGTTTTATGCTATCGATAGACATTTCAACAGTTCATTAAAGGTAGTTTTCAGTAGATTGCACAAAAGCGTCTGTACGTGGGTATGAACTAAAGCTGAATTTGGGGCAATTTGGGTCCCATTTTAACCTGTGAAAGGCTGTCAATTGCAATGTTCTCGAGACATTGTAGCTTAAAGTGTCATTTTAGCCTGAGTTGATTTTCTTCTTCCAATCTGTTACATTTACTGTTCCTTGTGCTTCACTGCTGACTTCCGTTAAGGGCTTCTCCGTATCATTAGAAACAGTTAAATACTTTGTGATATGTAGAATAAATATGTATGGAACTGCAGAGTACAGGTAGTCCTCAACTTACAACCACAATTGAGTCCAAAATTTATGTTGCTAAGTGAAACATTTGTTAAGTGAGTTTTGCCCCATTTTACAACTTTTCTTGCCACAGTTGTTCAGTGAATCATTCCAATTTTTAAGTTAGTAACATGGTTGTTAACTGAATGTGGCTTCCCCATTGACTTTGCTTGTCAGAAGGTCACCAAAGGGGATCACATGACTTTGGGACACAGCAGCGGTCATAAATATGAACCAGTTACCAAGTGTTTGAATTTTGATCATCTGACCACAGGGGTGCTGCAGCAGTCGTAAGTGTGAAAAACAGTCTTAAGTCACTTTTTTCAGTGCTGTTGTAACTTTGAATGGTCACTAAATGAATTATTGTATGTTGAGGACTACCTGTAATAGTCACCTCTCTGGAAATCGGGACTCCTTGTAAAACAATCACAATTTTTTAATCATATAAGCAGTGAAGAAAAAAATCATTTCATCCATAATTTACAGAATATAGAGTGACAGGAATTTGTCCTAAAGCTAATGAAAAATGCAACCTACAAGCATTATTTCCTAAAACTAGAAGCATCATCTAAGTTCCTAATAAACGAGCATATTAATTCCAGTGGTTATTACTGGAAACTGAGTGAAAACAACAAACTATATCCAAACACAACAATATATCCATGATTTCAAGGCCTACCTCCATTAGCCAGCAGGTTTTCCTGTACTTTATCTTTTGAATCTTCTAAAACTTCTCCAATATACTGGGCAGTTTTCTTTATTACACTTCATACAAGAATAAAACAGTAACATTTTAGTTCAAGAAACATGAAATAACTTTACAGCTAGATAGTAAAAACCATCACTTTCACAGTCCCTGAGGTGAGAACCAAGATGGAGACAGAAATGGACAAAAGACAGATCAGTGATGGATCAACAGGAAGTTTCATTAAGAACAAAGAGAACTGGCTATTTTTTAAAGTGTGTTTGGGGTATCGTGTTAAAGGCCTGTTGAGTTCTGGTTCTAAAAATAAGAAGATAAGCTTTTTTAAAAATACTGTGTGCATGATCTTCTGTTATTTTGCACTCAATTCTGATTGATGGACTAACAATTCAGTCCTAGTAATTTCTCTATGTTACAAAGTTTGTTTCCCAACTGCCACTGGGTGTCAAGAAAATAAGGTGTGGCTTGTTCAGGAAGAGGAAAAAGCAAACTTGGAATCAGAGTGTATATATGTAGTTTGCTTTAAACTGTAGCCTACAAGCAACCACGAATGGAGGAAGCATTGCTGAAGCCTATGGGATTCACAGATGCTCCTTCAGGTAGGCGTTTGGGCATGTAACTGATGTAGCAGAATGGGAAAAGTCCAAAAACGCTTCCTTCAGAATAAATATATCTACAAGTGGACATTAGTTTGCTTTTGAAGTATTCAGTCTCTAAACAGATTTCCCAGGATTCTCATCTTAATTCTGTACCATTTTAACTTTGGTGAGCATTTAAAAATAGGTTTGCAAGGAGAGCGTGCCATCCGAGATGGAAACAGCTCAAGAATGGACGGGCAAGAGAGCATTAGAATGCCACGGGCTGCTTCGAAGTGACATGGAAAAATACTCTGCCTCCTTGTGTAAATAAGTAATAAAACTGCACGGAAACAAGAGACCCTGAAAACTCTTGCCCCTTCCCTGCTACGCTGGTCAGAAGCAGTGCCGGCTGGTTTCTGCTGCCTAGCTAGATGTACTAGCATTTCTTGCATATGTTGATCTAATAACAATTCCACTAACAATCTGCTTCTCTGCAACTATAATATAAATGCTGAGTTCATTGGCATAGCTTCAGACCTAATTCTCTCTTTGTCCAAGGGGTTCAGCATCTGTTACATTCATTTTTATAACGCGCTAATCTCACATATAATTCTGTTCTCTCAACAGATGAACTTCCCCATCAGACCTTCAACTTCTTCTATAAAAGAATGTAGTCAATAGAAATGTGGGTTGAAATCGCAGGGCAAAAAGCTTGCTATTATGAGGCATCTCTGCAGTTGACCCTGCCCTTTGGAAAATCTTGTCCCCAGAGATAAGGCAAGCCCCCTTCCCTCTCCTGGTTTTCCAGAAGAGAATTAGGAACTGTCTCTTCCAATTAGCATGGGGATCTAAGAGTATGATGCAACCCTCAGGATGGCTGGTGGCTTGAGGGTACTCCTGTTGCCTCATTCACCTTCCTTTTTAGCCTTCTGAATTTTTAACTTTAAATTTTAAAAATTTAAAAAGTTATTTTTTTTTACTTTTAACTCATAGGCTTTAACTTGTTTTTAATTCTGTTTTTAGCTGTGCTTTTATATTCGGGTGTTTATATTGTTTTATTACACTATTGTAAACCACCCAGAGTTACTTAGGTGAGATGGATCATGCAGAAATACAACACATAAATAAAAATGAAAATCTGCGCCGGGGTGGGGGAGAGATTAAATGTGCATCACAGTGTGGGAACCCATTTCTTGTAGTTTTGGCCCCAGCATGGTTTTATTTTATTTATTTATTTATTTATTTATTAGATTTCTATACCGCCCTACTCCCGAAGGACTCAGGGCGGTGCACAGCCAAACAATAAAAACACATACAATACAAAATTTAAAAAATAGAATAAAATCAAATTAAATAATTTTGGCCCCGACAAATTTAAAACCCCAAACTTTTAAAACCAATTTAAAATTGAATATATAAATACTAAAAGATATTTAAAATTTTAAAAATCTTTTATAAAAGAGGGGGAAAATTAGGCCAGGCCAGCCTGGTGAAATAGTAAGGTCTTTAAGGCGCGGCGGAAGGTGCGCAGATCCGGGATCCTCCGTATCTCTGGGGGGAGCTCGTTCCAGATAGTAGGTGCCCCCACAGAGAAGGCTCTCCCCCTGGGGGCCGCCAGTCAGCATTGTTTGGCTGACGGCACCCGGAGGAGCCCCTCTCTATGGGAGCGTACCGGCCGGTGGGAGGCTATTGGTGGGTTAAGAAATAAACCAAGAAGACCATCCTTCAAATATGTGAAGTCTGAACACTGAAGACTTGGGGTGGGGGGGTTAGAGAAGATTCAGCTCCAGATGGACATATTTCCAAATAAAACAGAACAAAGATATTTAGATATTCTTAAAAGCATTTGTAGTGCTTCTGCAAAAAAAAAAAAAAAATACTATTTCCTACACATCCCCCCACCCCAACCCAGCCTCTGGTTCCTCTTTGTAAATGGCTCCTCAGAATAAGTGTATAGAATAGAAATCAGAGGTGGGCAACTATGGCCCTTTTATGACTTGTGGACTTCAATTCCCAGAATTCCTGAGCTAACATGGCTGGCTCAGGAATTCTGGGAGTTGAAGTCCACAAGTCATAAAAGGGCCATAGTTGCCCACCCCTGGAATAGATCAATGAAGAGGCAGGGACCACTTTTCCCAGGGACTTGCTGGTTACCCTGGGGTGAAGCTCACTGCTTCCCTAGATCTAAATATATTCAATTCAAAATAAAACACAGGAGTTAGACCCAACTCTTCTTTAAAAAGAATAAAGCCAAGCCTGCCTGATCTGGCTGACCTCTAGGACCAAGCTTAAACAAGTCAGAGTTAGGTTGAGGCAGGAAGCCTGTGACCTGGAGAAACAACTCCCATTTGTGTTTGTGTGCAGTAAATAAGTTCTATTTTACCTTTCAGCAAAACTATCGAGTTTTCCCAACTCATCTGAGAGGCCAACCAGCGTGTCCAGAGTTCCTACCTGTGGAAGGGAACACAAATACTTTAACACAAACAGAAGGGCTGCACAACTGTTTTACCAGAATGATATATTTTTATTATTTTTGGCCCGGATGATCCTTTGTGTAATCAAAGTATTAAGGGCACTCGGAGGAAGCCAAAGTCAATCAGGGAGAACATTTTTTTCTCAATGGAATATGACAGAAATGCCTCTTCTTCTATTCTAAATAAGGAAAAACTGTATGTTATCATGTGATTATAAATCCACTTCTATAAGACTTCTTCCCTATTTTATTCTTGGTGTTCCTCAACAGCTTTATTGTTCACAGTATATTGCATATGCAGTCATAAGGCACTGAATATAATATATATTTTCTTGCCAACTTCAGTAGGAAAAAACATTTAAGCCTTAAAATGGGGGAGCCTTACCTCATTTATATATAATCTGAGCAGAAACTGGTTGCAGCAAGTAAATTCACTGCATCTCTTCCTGAAATTATTACTTTAAGATTCCAACAGTGAAGGTAATTTTCAGATATCAGCCAGCACTTTTATCATAGTCCTATTATTAATTCCTATATTTTTTACGTCTAGTACTTCACCAAAATTAGCTAACATGTTAGTGCAGAACGATATTGAAGAAGTAATTTAATAATTCCAAGCTCTGTTAACTATGAGAAAGTTTACACAGCATACTAAGACTTTTTTGGAATGGACATGCTAATGGCATTGGTAACTCATTATGATTTATCAATTATGGTAAAATATGACACAATGACATTATGTACATATTATAATTCCCACCCAGCCCCGCTTCCTTGCAGACACTCATTAAATTGCAATGCATCTCCATTCAAAGTGTATGCCCAATGAAATTTATAGTTCCTTGGAACTAGGTCCCATTAAATTCATTCGGATTTAGTTTATTAATGCTACAATTCCATGTACATTTATTTGTGAGTAAATTCTACTTAATTTCTCTATGTTTAAGATATCTATGGCAGAGTTCCACTTTGATTAATTGCAATCTTGACCATTAAGGATGCTCATAGATTGTTTAACTTAATTTTTTTGAGATTTTCTGCGAACAACAGGCTTGAGTAGAACCAGATTAGACCTCCAGATTTTTCTGCTAGTAATTAACCCACTGATTAATGATAATGGTGCATGTTATTCAAGCACTTCAGAAAGCAGCAAATTATATATATATTATTCAACTAATTTTCCCTGTACAAAGACCCACTCTATTGAAAAAGAAGAAGAAATATGCTTGATCCCTGCCCTGTTCTTGTCTTGCTCTTCCTCCTTCTCTCCCTCCTGACTTTTCATCCCACTTTTTACCTTGAGGTCAGGGATGGCAAACTTGCTGTTGCTGGACAGGTTGGCTTTCGAAGTCACAGTATTCATTCTGTCCCAGGCAAGCAAATTTGCCTTATCCCCTGGAGCTGAGATTAGCCAGAACTCTGACATGGTGGGAAAGGATCCTCGAGTACAAAAATCACTGTAACTAAAGAAGGAAAAAAACCCCAAGAACACAAAAATAGATCAGCTAAAACTTTAAACCAATTTTTAAAAAATTAAAAAGGTATTGGTATATCAGTCCATACAGGGAAACGTCCATCACCTTTCAATCCAAATCTAAAATTAAATGTGACCTTCTCTTCAATGTCACCAACAGGCAGTAGTTCCTCTTTTCTTCCCCCTCCCTGTCCTGGGTTGTTTCATCTTGTTAGTAGGGAGGAGTTTTTAATCGCAAGGAGGGTGCGGGTACATGGAGCAATTCACAATTATTTGCAGAAGTAAAAGGCTGATCTGTTCATCATTCCAATCCAAGGAACATTGTTTGAGAAGGATGTAAGAGCTTAAAGCATTTCCCCCCCAAACTTGGCAACTTTAAGATGTGTGGACTTCATCTCCCAGAATTCCCGCATGCTAGCATCAATATTCTATATGTTTTTGCCCTTCATCTGTATACTAGAAATATCAAAACAGATAACAAAAATTAACTTCGTTGTAAAAAATCTAAATGATAGGCAGTTAATCTATATCTGCTGTCATATTGGCATGACCACGATGTAGAATTTTTTTTAAAAAACCAACTTCTGTTTAGAAACATCTGAACAATGAAATGTATATATAAAATTACTAAGGCATTATGAGAAAGAGTTCAGAAGAAGCAGTTTTCTCCTTCCACATTTCATATATGAGCATCTATGATAATTTTTATCAATTTTTTTAAAAAATAAATATTATCTACACTGACCTTGACTCCTGGTTATTAGATGGTCACATTTACATTCATAGTAAGGATACGGAAGGCGTTTGCCACAGTTGTCTTTTCGGAAACATTCAGTTTTCCAACTTAGCCTTCAGCCCTGGGATTTCCTAGTGGTCTCCTATCCTATCCTTAACCAATCTCCTCCCTGCTTAGCTTTTTCAGGGAAAGCCAAGTTAGTTGGAGGCTCTGGATAACTGCCCACTACCATTAGGAGCAAATGAATGTGGTTGATCTTATGTATCCATGTTTTAACCCAGAAAAAAGATCATTAAAAAACAGAAAGCATAATGAAAAGAAGGGGAAACGGTTGACTACAGCTTTAATAGGTGTAAAAAGTGATCACCATCAATGTTCTTCCGTTTCTCCCTTCATCATTTAATTTTTAATTTATCTAATAACTGGCCTTCCAATGCTGCTTTTTCCAAGGCAAAACTGACACCTTTCTAAAACGACCTGGGACGGATCCATCCGTGCCTTTTGCCTTTCGACACAAAACAACCAAAGCCTCCTAAAAAAAACCGTATCACGAATTGGGCTTGCGCCCCGTTTTATTGGGGATGACTCACGTCTACTTGGATGTTGAAAGTAGCTCAAGACGGCTGGGCGAAAATGCCTCTCTCCCCATCACTCCCAGCTGCTTTTCAGAAACAGAAGGAACGTAAACGGCCAGGCTCAACGACTAAACAAATAGCGCGTTCCGTTCCCACGACGCAGCGCCGACCTCCGAGCTGAATAAAATGGACCAAGGGGTTAAAAAAAAATTTTAAAAAAAAAAGCCCACCGAGGCCGATCCGATCCCCTCATTTCGTTTCGGGTCTCCTTTCCAAGGAACAGGAGCCTCCGAGCCACGCAGCCACCGGCTTCTCTAAGGAGGCGGTGGGAAAAGTTTCCCACCGCTTTACTTACCCCAAGTCCTCGGGGAGACGCGGCAGGTGCTCCTCACCGCGTAGCGGCGGCCCTTGCCATCGGCTCCGAGGAGAAACGCTCTTCCCTCCTCTCAGTGGACGCCGGAGGGGAGGAACGGACTTTGCAGGGCGCGGAGCCGCCGGCTGAGCCGCCGCCGGCTGCGGCTCGCTTTTTGCAGGAGGGAGGAGGGAGGAGGGAGGAGGGAGAGGCCCACCCCGCCGCTTTTCTCTGGCCGGCGGCGCTTGAGGAAGCTCCTCCTTGGCCTCCTCCTCCTCCCAGCCTTTGCTTGGTTCAGATCTGGAGGTGCCTGCCAGGGATGGACGATTCCTCAGGGAGGCCCCGTCCTCTGTCAGACGATGGAGGCGCCCACACGCCCCGTCTGGGAAGCTTTAGAACTTTTTTAAGCCTTCCTTCCTTCCTTCCTTCCTTCCTTCCCTTCCCTTCCCTTCCTTTCCTTTCCTTCCTTTCCTTTCCTTTTGCTTACCATGACTGCCAGTCTCGGAGGCACCACCAAGCCACTTTGGTACATAGCTGAGATTGGTTACTTCTTGGAAATGTTGAAAAGATCTGAGGTGCATATGAGGTATTAACCTAGATTTTTTCTAAATTGCATGTAAAAAAAATAAGCATTGGACTAAATCCTATCTATCTTTCTGTAACCATGATTCTATGTCTTTGAAAACAGATACTGAGATGATAATAATAAACATTGGGTTTGTACATTGGAAATGGAATTATGAAAGCTTTCAGCCCTATATAATAATTTACATAGTGCCTCTTCTACTTTTTCCTAAAGGGCCAAAATATAGCCCGGCATTACCCCATTTCCAAAAGGTGACCTTCACCTCATCCCTGCTCCTAAGGGAGACAGACTTCCCATAGTTAACTATTGCCTCCTTCAAATAAGGTTTCTCTTCTCAAACAAATTAGCTTTGCTTATTCTAGCTGATAATTAAAATTGTATCATATGATATGAATTATAGTCCATTTTAAAATGAGGCCTGGATGCATTTATGCAGAATCATTATGGAGAATGATCTTTGCCTATAATACAGCCTTGTTGATTTGCCTGGATGTTTCAGTTTATTGCAATGTAATTTTTGTGTGGTTACCTTTAAGATGCTTTAGTCTAGAAGTTTCATTTATTGTATTTACAGTATTGGAAAGGAACACAAAAATAAGAGCAACTAAGATGATTAAAGGCCTGGAGATAAAAACATGAAGAATGGTTGCAGGAATTGGGTATAACTAGTCTAGAGAAAAGAAGGACTAGACTAGAGGGAACATGATAGCAGTATTCTGGTATTTGACGGGCTGCCATAAAGAAGAGGGGGTCAAGTTATTTTCCAAAGTACCAGAAGGCAGGACAAGAAACAATGGATGGAAACTAATCAAAGAGAGAAGAAGCCTGGAATTAAGGAGAAACTTTCTAACAGTAAAAACAATTAACAGCTTGCCTTCAGAAGTTGTATGTGCCTATGTGTACATTGCTACAATGATCATTGTAGATTTTAAAGAGGAGATTGAACAGTCATTTGTCTGAAATGGTAAAGGCCGTGACGGCGAATCTATGGCACGTGCCACAGGTGGCACGCAGCGCCTTATCTGTGGGCAGGTGAGCCGCTGCCCCAGTTCAGTTCTGCCGCGCATGCGCACACGCCTCTTCCCAGCCAGCTGATCATCGGATCTCTGCCATGCTTGGGGGGGGGCGTGTGTGCATGTGCAGGAGCTGGGGCACATGCGTGGGGGCCACACGCATTGCATTTTTGGGGTTCAGCTGTGCATGTGCGCATTCACACACGCGAGCGCTTTGGGCACTCGATCCAGAAAAGGTTAGCCATCACTGGTAGAGGGTCTCCTGCTTGAGCAGGGAGTTGGACTAGAAAACCTTCAAGGTCCCTTCCAGCTATATTCTGATTGTAATTGTAATCAATTTAAATGTAGATAGAGATCCTGTCCAGAGTTAGCTGCCCACATTATGAACTTAGATATACTAAAAACATCAGTTAAAATCAGTTTTTAACTTCCGTTAGTCTATCTAAGTCCATAATATGAATTTAGATGTTTCTTCATTTCAGGTAAACATACAAATGGGACGTCATGTATGTGTATGTGTCCATATGCAACTCACAAACCACACATTAAAAGAAAAAAGGAAAAATTAATTGAATAAGTACTGATCAATGTTAACTACTTAAGTGCCCTATTTACAAAATCAATCTCCCTAAATATATATCCTAACTATTCTCTTTCATATATGAAATACATTTACGGAGAAACAGGCATACATTGCAACAAGGAAACTGATTGTAAGAGGATAGTACCAACGTAATTGGCCAGTTTAGTATTATTTTCACTGGTTCCTATTTCATTTATGGTCACAATTCTAGTGCTGATTTTAACCCATCAAGCTTTTTGTATCTTGGGATCACAGTACCTGGAGAAACGCCTCTTTCTACTTTTCTTTCTTCCACATGCACCCTACTCTCATTTCAGAGTTTTGCTCTGGGCACCATCTGGTGTTGAAGATGGCAGGTAGCCCCTCCTATTCCAGAATGGCTTTCCAGAAAGACAGCCAGCAGCCAGCAAAGATGGTTACAGTATATTCTTCTGAAGCTTTTAATAAATCTGTTAATTTCAAAGGTACATGTAGTTGTTGACTTACAACCATTTGTTTATTGATCGTTTGAAGTTACGATAGCACTGAGAAAAGTGATTTATGATTGGTTTTCATACTAACAACCATTGCAGCATCCCCATGCTTGGGTGATCAAAATTTAGGAGCTCGGCAACCTGCATGTATTTATGTCAGTTGCACTGTCCCAGGGTCATGTGATCACATTTGTAATCTTCCCAGCCGGCTTCCAACAGGGAAAGTCAATAGGGAAAGTCAGATTCACTTAATGACAACATGTTTCACTTAACAATTGCAGTGATTCGTTTAGCAACCGTGGCAAAAAAGGTTGTAAAATCAGGCACAACTCACTTAACAATTGCCTTGCTCAGCAACAGAAATTTTGGGTTCAATTGTTATCATAAGTTGAGAATTAACTTTATATACTTACAAAGTTTATGAAACTACTTACAAAACTACCCCAGCTGCTACTGTTATTGTCTATTGTAGAAGTTTCTTTGATTACCATTGTAAAGGCAAACTTCAAATTTGTCATTCGCAGCTGGCTAGTCAAAATGACAGATGGAACGCTCTGAGTTAAACATCTGTCTGTATTTTTCAGATATGGTCTTTCACATCTTTAGAAAAGGCAGTTTTACTCCAGTACCTCTGAGGAAATAGAACAAGGAGGTGCAATGGAGGAGAAAGCCACCACAATGCTCCTCCAGAATGAAATATGATTGGAAAAGACAATTTCCAATGAACAGCATGGCAACCAAGGGATCAGACCAAGTGCCTCCAGCTTTCTTTCTTGGCCTTTTTTTCGGACCGGGGATGCCAAGCCCTCATTCAGCCCAAAGAAAAACTTGGGCATGAAACCAAACTGGCAGAAAAGAACACATCAGAGGCGACATACAGCTGGGAAGAAGGAAGAGTGGGAAGTTGCTCCTGCTTTGGAGAAGGGGGTCAGGATTCCATGTACATTTTCAAGCATGCACTTCGGGAAGGGAATCAGAATCGAGCTGGAAGGGACCTTGGAGGTCTTCTAGTCCAGCCCCCTGTGCAAGCAGGAGACCCTATACCAGTTCAAACAAGTGGCTGTCCAGTTTCTTCTTAAAAACCTCCAGTGATGGAGCATTTCTGGAGGCAAGCAGTTCCACTGGTTAATCGTTCTCACTATTAGGAAGTTTCTCCTTAATTCCACGTTGCTTCTCTCTTTGAATAAGTTCCAACCATTTTTTCCCACCAAACCCATAACCAACTTCAGAGTTGATGGCAACCTTCCTAAATCCATCCTCTCCCTTTTTTGGGCAAAGGTAGGGGGGAAAAAAAGAAAAAAGTCCACCCCAAAAGGACGAAGCGCACAATTGAAGGACACCGTCGACGTCACCGCGCCGCCCGTGACGTCACACCCACCACCTTTTTCGAGGGGTTTTCCGCACTCTATGGCCGGAAGAGTTCCCTCCCGCTCCCGGAAGTGAAGCCCGGTCTCGTTCGGGAAGAAGGGCGACATGCAGGTCTCCAGCCTCAACGAGGTGAAGATCTACAGCCTAAGCGTCGGCCGGAGCCTGCCGGAGGTGAGAACGCGGGAGCGCCAAACCCCCCCCCCCGCCCTTCGCCCTGTCCGCGCGCTCCCACTCCCCGCGCGCTGTGCTGCCTGGTAGAGCGCGCGCCTTTCGCTCCGCGCGGTGCCCCAAAGGCGGATCGTGCGCTTCGGTCCCCTATTAATACGCGTCGAAAAAGCCGGTCGCTACAGGGGGAAAGAGTATTTCTGGCTAATGTTTCTAACCAATATAACAATATTTCTAACGAATATTCTCACCTGGAATACTGGAACCAATTTTGGATGTCACCATACTGCAATAAAAGAATACGTTGAGATCTTGGAAAAAGTGCAGAGAGGAGCGACTTAAGGTGGTCCAAAGCCTGGAGACTAAAACGGCTGCAGGATTTGGGTTTGGCTGGTCCAGAGAAAAGAAGAGTTAGGGGTGACATGATAGCAGTGTCCCCGTACTTGAGGGGCTGCCACAAAGAAGAGGGGGTCAAATTATTCTCCAAAGCACCAGAAGAGGAGACAAGAAACAATGGTTGGAAACTAATCAAGAAGAGAAGCAACCTACCTGGAATTAAGGAGAAACTTCCTAACAGTGAGGACAATTAACCAGTGGAATAGCTTGCCTTCAGAAACCCTGGGCACTCCATCACTGGAGGTTTTTAAAGAAAAGACTGGACAACCACTTGTATGAAATGGTATAGGTTCTCCTGCTTGAGCAGGGGGCTGGACTAGAAGACCTCTAAGGTTTTTTTTTTTTTAATTTGATTTATATGCCGCCCTTCTCCGAAGACTCAGGGCGGCTTACAGTGCGTTAAGCAATAGCCTTCATCCTTTGTATATTTATATAAAGTCAGCTTATTGCCCCCACAACTGGGTCCTCAATTTACCTACCTTAGAAAGGATGGAAGGCTGAGTCAACCTTGAGCCTTGGTGAGATTCGAACCCTGCAGTAATTGCAGGCAGCTGGTCTTAATAACCAGCTTAATAACAGGGTGCCTTAGACCACTGTACTACCAAGGCT